TCTCACCATCCTCACCATATCGCTCAATCAGCCATGCATTGGCCTTCTTGAAATGGCCACAGTCGAAGAAGCCCCTCGACGCACTGAGGGGACTGGGGTGGACGGAATTGAGAACAAGATGACGGCTCTTGTCAACCTTCTGAACTCTCTTCCCCGCAGGTGTACCCCAAGCCATGAAGACCACACCCCGTGTACGCTTCTGGTTGATTAGTCTGATGACCTTCTCAGTGAATGCCTCCCATCCCCGGTTCGAATGAGAAAAGGCTTCGTGCGCGCGGACAGTGAGGCAGGTGTTGAGCATGAGTACACCTCGATCGGCCCAAGGAGTCAAGAGTCCACCTCGGTTCGGAGGTACCTCAAACGATGGATAGTCCTTCTTCAAGGCGACATACATGTTCTTGAGCGATGGAGGTGCGGGAGTCGGAGGTCGAACCGAGAAAGCCATGCCGTGCGCTTGATTGACATTGTGGTATGGATCCTGGCCAACAATGACAACTTTGATTTCATTGAAGGGGGTATGTCGTGACCTAGGACTTGTTAGGGCCATCATCTGACATGTGCTTCTTTGGTGGGCTCTTACCAAGAGTAAACATCCTCTGCTGGAGGGAACCACTTTCGTCCTGCCTTCGTCTCTGCCTGCAGGAACTTCTTCAAGTCTAGGAACTGAGTGGTCGTAATATCATCTTTCAAGTGGGCGAGCCAACTCTCGTGCAGTGTGTCAATCTCTAGCTGGAGGAGAGTTCTCTGTTCGGGTGTCAAGCTGTCGACCCATTTCTGTTTGTCGAACTTGAGGGCTGGTGCCTCGGCACCTGAGCCTTTTGCTGCTGGCTTTGGAGCTCCAAAAAACGAGGCAATGTTTCCGTTTGCCTTTGGCTTCTTGGCATCGTTCCCCCCAACTGCCCCGGCTTTTCGTTTAAGCATTGTGAGGTTGCGGATGTGACAGGGTGCTCTAACGGTAGATTCCAGCAACGGCCTCCAAGTTGAAGGAGGGACGCGTAGGTATCGTGAAGGAAGAATGGTGATAGAACGAAGATTCCGATGGCTGAAATGAGATTTTAGACTATTCGAAGAGATTGTGGCTGTGAGTAAAAGGGGAAAAAGAAAGGTGACTAGGCTGTAAGATGCACGCCGGGACTCTCTCAGCCGTGACGCGAAACAAAAACCCATTAACGCGCTTCGCGTTGCCGATCGCGTGAGAACATGTGTTACCAGCCACATTACGGCGTTCCAGCCACATTAGATTCAAGGCGTGGCATGACTGCAGACATGATATAGCATGGTTGCGGTCAATCGGGGGTACAAGTGGAGGGCAAGATTTGATTTCGGACTAAGTGAGATGAAGATTTCTATGTTGCGAGGTTATGTTCTATTATCCAAGACCACACGTACCTGCATATGCCCTCCAAGGCAGGTGGTGCTGGAATGGTGGGTGGCCAGGTGGGTGCCATAGAAAGTGGCGCACCTACATCACCGACAAAGGAACCCCGCAGAATCTCGAAAATAATGCACAAAAAAAGTAGGAATAAAGATTCTATATATTCAATTAGATAAATTATTTACGATCGTTTGTTTCCCAAATGAAGCATTTTATTGACTATAGCCAATTTGTACAAGCTGAGTGCAACGTTCTTGCATGCTATCCCACAATATTTCCCACTTGCCAGCTTATTTCGTCACCGGTGCTTTCAAGTACCGACGTGGCATTAGTCATCTCTTCGGCAGCTTAGCTCCTGACGTCTGAACAAGCCACGGTGCTACCCTCCCGCATACTTGAGCTATCACCGAGGAGCAGGTAAGCTCCACGTGTAATTAACCGTCACCTTGCCAAACTCCCACCACAACACCATACTGAATAGTATCTTCTTTTTGGTCATTGGTGATTCGGCCATGCTTCAAGACATTTCCTTAGTCTTTCATACATAGAATCAGACCGGCATGGCCAGACTACAGGTCTGGTTAGTCCGTAAGTGTCCTGTACCTAACTTGATAGAATCAATAAATGTGTCACTGACAGGGTTCCCCAACAGTGCTTTTGCAGGTCTTCGTGGTTGTCTGCGCGAATTGGGACCAGAGACAAGACGACAAATCCAATGGCGGCAGGGATCGAGGTGATCATGATCAGAGAGACCCGGACATCCAGCTTCTATCCCACCGAGAACAAGATGCCGCCCCGAAACCAGGTTCGTGCGATGTTGGATGTTTATGTGCGCAACTTTGAGACTGACCACGTGTAGGTGCTGAACTCGTCAGCGCCGCCCTGTCCGAACTTCGAAAAGTCCAGAAATCGCCTCACCACCGAGCTCGCCGATCTCCAGGTGTGATGTCAACAGTGTTACAATTCGCTATGAAGGCGATTCCCACAGGCCCCGCCAAAGCGCCATCGCACGGGCAGACGACGAGCGCACCGGTAAATGGGCCGCTGGCTAATGCCGTGGAGTTGCTTGAGCAGGCTGCTAAGCAGAATAACTCTGATGCTTTGCTGATCCTGGCCGAGATGAACTTCTTCGGAAAATACAACTACCCCAGAGATCTCCATGTCGCTTTCAAAAAGTACAGCGAACTTTCTGACATTCATGGCAATGCGACTGCGCAGTACATGTTGGGTGTCTATTACTCGACGGGGCTAGCAGGCGTTGTCCCGGCAGACCAGGCAAAGGCATTGCTGTATCATACTTTTGGAGCTGCCAATGGTGACGTGCGGTCGGAGATGGCTATAGCATACCGTTACTTGGCTGGCGTCGGGACCGTGAAGAACTGTGCGAAATCAGTTGGGCATTATAAAAATGTCGCCAACAAAGCTATTGACTGGTACCGGTCAGGTCCTCCGGGGGGTCGATCCTGGATCCAACAGAGCTGGCGAATCTCGGATGATGACGGTGGTATCTATGGAGAAGGAGCAAGCGTGTCCAGCTCAGGATTGAACGCTTTCCGACCCAACCCTAGCTCTGATGCGAATGCTGCCATTGGTGATGTTATTGAGTATCTGGATCTGATGTCTCAGAAGGGAGACTTCAAAGCTGCGTTCAACCTGGGAAGAACATATTACGAGGGACAACGTGGCCTGGACCAAAACCTGGAACTCGCAAAGAAGTACTTCTTTCTGGTAGTATCACGCTACTGGAAGCGAGATGGGACCAGGATCGACAACTTCAAGCAAGGCATCGAGAAGACTGCAGGCAAGGCGGCGGCATATATCGGAAGGATGTACTTGCGCGGAGAGGGTGTAACACAAAACTTCGAAAAGGCCAAGATATGGTTCGAACGTGGCATTTCTCAGTCTGATCCCATGGCATACTATGGGCTTGGATTAATCAACCTCAACGGACTTGGTGTCAAGAAGAATGTGAAGAGAGCCATGGATCTCCTCAAGAAATCCGCCGATCAGGACTATGCTCCTGCGCAAGTTGAGATGGGACGCTTGTATCTTGATCAAGGCGGAGTTGATGACCTCCGAACAGCCAACAATTATTTCGAGCTCGCTGCCAGATATGGCAACATCGAGTCCGGATACTACATTGCGGAGATGGTTAACAACGCAGTAGGACGGGAGTATATTTGCTCCGTCGCTCTGAGCTTCTACAAGCTTGTAGCAGAAAAGGCAGAACCTCTCGTTTCCTCATGGGACGATGCAAACATTGCATATGAGGAAGGGGACTTCGAGCGAGCTTTCCTGGAGTATCTACTGGCCGCTGAACAGGGTTATGAAAAGGCACAGACGAATATCGCCTACATGTTGGATTCAGAACGGTCAAAGCTGCCTATCCAATCCTGGGCAGCTAAAGCCCTCGGACAGAGCAAGCCTCAAGAGGGAACCCTCTTGAACAATCCCACGCTGGCCTTGATTCAATGGACAAGATCATCTCGTCAGAATAACGTTGATTCGACGGTCAAGATGGGAGACTATTACTTCTATGGCATTGGTACGGAGAAGGACATCAGCAAGGCAGTGCAATGCTACACCGCGGCATCAGATCATTCTCAAAGCGCACAGGCTCTGTTCAACCTGGGCTGGATGCACGAGAACGGCTTCGGGTTGGACCAGGACTTCCACCTGGCCAAGCGATATTATGATCATGCTCTGACTGTAAACAAGGAAGCATACCTTCCGGTGACCTTGAGCCTGTTGAAGCTTAGACTGCGTAGTGCGTGGAACACAGTGACTCATGGACCAATCCACTCCATACAAGACGAGCCCAGTAAGTTTCCTTAATACCACTCCCCTCGAAGCTGGAGATGACTGACAATCCCTATTCCAGAATTGAAAAAGGACTGGTCACTGGGCGAGTGGATCGCGAATTTCATCAAAGATGACAGGTATTTCGACGAAGAGATACACCTTGAAGATACTGTCGACGACCCGATCGGTACTGGGGAAGGCGATTTCCAAGACGATGGAGTGATAGAGAGCCTTCTCATCATTGGCGTTATGGCCGCCCTCGTATTCCTGCTCTGGTGGCGCCAGCGGATGCAACAGGCTCATGCGCAGGCAGAGGAGGCGGCGAGACGTCGGGCTCAGGGGCTACCCCCCCAAGCACTGCAGGCAGGAGGGCCAAGGAACAATTTGAACCCAGATGATGGCTTCCCCGCGTGGGCTGGGGGTGGCCTGGGATTGTGATATTATGTATAGATCATGGCTGATGGCATTCAATGTGGATTTGGGATTGGCGTTTGAGCGGCGTCCATTATTACATAGCGCATATAGCATTCTGGAATTGAAAAGTACAGACGCATTCACTAGATGGTTTTGAGGGAACGATGTCATCCTGGTTGGTCGAGGTCAATAAATAGGCGTCAATGATGATGACCGTGACGTCGTTATCCATCTTTGACATGGGGGATGAAGACACAGAGAATAGGAACTGTAATTTATTTATCTTGTACTATATGCTACTCGCTGCAGGGCGCATGAAAGGGAGGTAAACCTCCGGCTCACCTAAACGCCAAAAACTCCTCATCTGTGCAATTACGTGTACATGCTGAAAACGGGGGCTGCTTAATGATTAGTCTATGTCCATCACCTCATCGTCGTCTGTCGCAGCGATTGGATTAACCAGCGCCTGCTCTCCAAGGGGCTGCGCAGCCACGGGAGCAGCGCTGGCCCCCTCCCTCTCCTGCCTCTGCTTCTCCCGCAGGCGGTGGCGAGTCTCCAGAATGGCCTTGCGGACGCTGTCTTGCTCCTTGGGCAGGGTCAACGACTGCGGGTCGCGGTAGAGCACCATCTGCATGCCCGCGAGCTCGCCGTCGCTGTTGGCGAGGATGTGAGGCGGGATGCGGTTCTGCTTCAGGTGCTTCTCAATGTCTGGGAGGAAGATAAGCTTGCCATCTTCCGCGTCGCTCTCGTCTGAGGAGAGCTCGTCGTCGATGTTATAGATGTAGACCTTGTACTTGGAGTCGTCCAGCTGCATACTATCCTGATCTGGGTTGCCTCGAGGCTGTGCGAGTGCCTCGGGCCGCGGCTGCAGTTGCGCGGCGGGATGCCCACTGCTGTCGGCGGCGGTGGGATTCTCAACCGGGACATAGAGCTTGGAACCATTTTGTTCTGATAGCCATATATCGTTAGGAAAACTATCCACGGAAATCTGCGCACGCGAGGGGGTTCGGGGGCTGCACGGAGGTGTGGCCCACGCAGGCAGCGTTGGGGGGTGGGGATGGACGGACGGGAGCTACGTACCCAGATTAAGCAGGCTCAGGCGTTTGGAGAGACGCTCGTTGTCCTGAGACTGGGCCTTCCTCTTGCGCGACGGCTTCGTGGCCTTAACAGCAGCCGAGGAGTCATCTTGCGTTGTCGGCGCAGGAGCAGGATTCACGTGGTGCGCAAGGAAAGGCGTGGGAGAGGGAGATTGCGGTCGGGTGCTGTGCAGCATCATCTTTCTGCCGAGTTTCCAGCCGTCTTCTCCAATCAAACCATCGTTGCCCGCGCACTCTCCTCTTTTAAATTTATTTTCCTCCCCCTGGGACGTCGCCTCGGGGCAGCACGAGTCGAGCGGTCAATCAATCAATCGCGCGCGCAGCAGCTAGCGTGCAGTCTTGATGGGAAGCTGATTGGCGCCTGTGGAAAGTGAAACTGGCCTCGACGGGATTGCGGTGATAAGGGGGAAAGGGTGGTGAAGTTGGATCAGTCTGCATGTGGTCGCGAGGTGCCAGTGGCTGCGTGCCGGCGGCCAGATACGGGAGCTGGAGGAGGCCCTCAGCGGCCGCAGCGGTGCACCGGCAGCCAGCATTGACTCATTCTTGTAGAAGTTTCCACCACAAAAGCAGCAGGCTTCCCACCACTTCCACCACCACCACCACCAGTCCGATACCGCCCTCTCGCCACCAACTCTGCATCAAGGCAGGATTGTTTCGCCCCATCGTCTTTTCCCCTCCTGCAACCGCAATTCGATTTTCCCGTCTCTTCTCCAGTGCAGCAGTCAACATGGCCGAGTCCACCCACCAGTGGCCGGCGGCGCGGGTGCGCCAGACCTTTTTGGACTATTTCGCTGAGAAGGATCACACAGTAGGTGAGTGGCGGGGTCTTCAGCAGCCTCACGACACCAATCCTTGCGCGCATTCCAGACTTGATATCACAGTACTTTTTTCCCTGTTCTTGCATTCGCTACGAGATCATGCTCATTTATTTTTCTCTACTTCGCATCCACTGTGCAGCCTGCTAATCCTGTCGCGATGCAGTGCCTTCCAGCTCCGTCGTCCCCCACAATGACCCCTCCTTGCTCTTCACCAATGCGGGCATGAACCAGTTCAAGCCAATTTTCCTCGGGACAATTGGTAAGACGGATCCCATGGCCGATCTGAAGCGCGCTGTCGATTCGCAAAAAGTCATCCGCGCTGGTGGCAAGCACAACGACCTCGACGATGTCGGCAAGGATAGCTACCACCACACCTTCTTCGAGATGCTGGGCAACTGGTCCTTCGGCGACTACTTCAAGGAGGGGATTGTGGAAATGTCATGGGAACTCCTCACTAAGGTCTATGGTCTCGACCCTGCCCGACTTTACGTTACGTATTTCGAGGGCAAGCCCGAGGCTGGGCTCGAGCCCGATCTCGAGGTGAAGAAGCTGTGGCAGAAGATTGGTGTTCCAGACGACCATATCATCCCTGGAAACATGAAGGACAACTTCTGGGAGATGGGTGACCAAGGTCCTTGTGGTCCTTGCAGTGAAATTCACTATGACAAGATTGGTGGACGAAATGCTGCCTCTCTGGTCAACGAGGATGACCCCATGGTCATCGAAATCTGGAACCTGGTTTTCATCCAATACGACCGCCAGGCTGACAAGAGCCTGAAGCCCCTACCAGCCAAGCACGTCGATACCGGTCTCGGATACGAGCGATTGGTTGCCGTCCTCCAGGATGTCTCCTCCAACTATGCTACCGACGTCTGGAGCCCTCTGTTCAAGAAGATTGAAGAGGTCACTGGCGCTCGCCCCTATACCGACAAGTACGGAAAGGATGACGTGGATGGTATTGACATGGCCTACCGTGTGGTTGCGGACCACATCCGCACCCTGTCCTTCTCCATTACTGATGGTGCTGTCCCCAATAACGACGGTCGCGGTTACGTTGTTCGCCGTGTCCTTCGCCGAGGTGTTCGTTACGGTCGCAAGTACCTGAACGCTGAGATTGGAACTTTTTTCTCCAGTGTCCTTCCTGCCCTCGTCGAGCAGAAGGGTGGTGAGTTCCCTGAGCTCATCAAGAAGCAAGGTGACATCAAGGAGATTCTTGATGAGGAGGAGGAGGCATTCGCACGAACCCTGGACCGTGGCGAAGCCCAATTCGAGAAGTACGCTGCTGCCGCCGCCAAGGATGGTGCCAAGAAGCTTGACGGTAACACCGTCTGGCGCTTGTATGATACGTTCGGCTTCCCAATCGACCTGACCAAGCTCATGGCCGAGGAGCGACAGCTTGATATCGATGAGGCTGAGGTTGAGGTGGCTCGTCAAAAGGCCAAGGAAGCTAGCAAGGCCGTCAAGGACTCTGTTCAAGGCTTCCCCAAGCTCGATGTGCACACCATTGACCAGCTGAAGAAGCTCGACACTGTCGAAACTGATGATGAGCCCAAGTTCGTCAGAGGCGACACAAAGGGCAAGGTTCTCAAGATCTACGACGGCAAGGACTTCCTCCAGACGACAAAGGATGTGCCAGAACACACCCGTCTGTCAGTTCTCCTAGACCGAACCAACTTTTACGCCGAATCTGGTGGTCAGGTCGCAGACACCGGCCGCATTGTGATTGACGATGTTGTTGAGTTCAAGGTCCTGGATGTCCAGAACTATGGTGGATACATCTTGCATAGTGGCTACGTCGACTACGGCTCTCTGTCAGTTGGTGATGAAGCCATCTGCGAGTATGATGAGCTGCGCCGTGCACCAATCCGCAACAACCACTCTGGCACTCACGTTCTCAACCATGCGCTCAGAGAGGTCCTAGGCGACGACATCAACCAGAAGGGTTCTCTTGTCGACCACGAGAAGCTCCGATTCGACTTCTCCCACAAGAGCGGTGTCAAGATTGATGAGTTGAAGAAGATCGAGGATCTGTCCAACGCCTACATCCGCTCCAACTCCAAAGTTTATGCCAAGGATGTTGACCTGGACCTTGCTCGCGAAATCGAGGGTGTCCGTGCTGTCTTCGGAGAGACCTACCCTAACCCTGTCCGTGTTGTGTCCATTGGGCAAGACATTGATACCATGCTTGCAGACCCCAAGAACAAGGAGTGGCGCAAGTACAGCATCGAGTTCTGCGGTGGCACCCACGTGGAGCACACCGGCCTCCTCAAGGACTTTGTCATTGTCGAGGAGAGCGGCATTGCCAAGGGAATTCGACGAATCATCGCCTACACTGGCGAGGCTGCCCACCAGGTCCAGCGCGAGGCTGTCGAGTTTTCCAAGAAGCTTGATGCGCTTGCTGCCCTGCCATTCGGAGCTGAGAAGGAGGCGCAGATCAAGGTCACCTCCCAGGAGCTCAGCCAGCTTGTCATCTCCACCCTGACCAAGGACGAGCTCAACAAGCGCTTCCAGAAGATCACCAACGACGTTGTTGCGGAGCAGAAGAAGAGGCAGAAGGCCGAGTCCAAGACTGCGCTTGACGCCGTGGCTAAGCACTTCGAGGCCAACGCCGATTCTAAGTGGTTCGTCGGCCGTCTGCCAATCGGTGCCAATGCCAAGGCAGTGGGTGACGTTGTCAAGCACTACCAGGGCAAGGATAAGGAGAAGTCTGTCTACCTGTTTGGTGGAAACAAGGATGAGGGTGTGGTCCACGGAGTCTACGTTGGAACTGTAAGTTTATTTGATTGAATCCATTAGATGTCCCCCCTTTTCAAGCTAGCATCGCGATACTAACTCCCTATTTTAGCATCTGTCCTCCCAAGGTGTGACCGCAGAGCAGTGGGCTGCCTCGGTATCTGAGATCATCGGCGGCCGCTCCGGCGGCAAGGAGCCCACGCGCCAGGGCCAGGGCACGAAGCCCGAGCACATTGACGATGGTGTTGAGACCGCTACCAAGTGGCTCAGCGAGAAGCTGAAGCTATAATCTCCTCCCCCCTCCTCGGAATCTGATTTATTGAGAATGTTGGGATTGTATTTTCTTATTGCATGTGACGCTGGGCAATTGTGGGGTTTGGGATCATATGGGAACGGCATAGGTGATGAAAACCGGGAGTATGGAGACCGAGAGGACATATGTCCATCTGGGTCTGATAGAAATGGGGACATTGTGATATCATAGGCTTCCCACACAAAATGAGTAAATAAAACAAAGAAACATCGAAGCAAATAATCGTGATATTTTATGGTTATCCTAGATGAGAAACCCCAATGTGTCCAGTAACTCTTAAGAGTTGGACCTTTCCTATTCCTATTCATACATGTGTATATCTACAATGGTAAGGGAATGGTAAAACTCGGACGTGATGAGCTCCTCCCCCTTTTTATACAGTAACCATAACGCTGGCATTCCGGTAGTGTGACAGGAGTGGGTTCTCTCCGCTGCGAGTCTCTGTATCCTCGATGTACGCCCACCGCGCCATGAAGTCGCCATGGGTCATTACACGGGTTAGTTTCCCCGTGACGGCCCTGTAGATGGACTCGGTGATGTTGAAGTCCGTGGGGAAGAGGATATCAAAGTACCCTTGGTGGACCTACAAATTCAGTGTTAGCGTCACATGTAAGAAAGAGACAAGGGAAAATGTGAGATGTTGACATACCAATGGTGTTGTGACAGGCACAGTAGTCCTCTTGTAGCGTGTTTGGACAACAGGAGCGTTCAAGCCCTTGATCGCCTGTGGAAGGGAGTGGAAGTCGGAACTCAGGAGTCTGTGGGCGGGGAAGTACTTCTCGAGAACATCAAAGAACTGAAGTAACCGGGTAGGAATGAACTCGGGGTGGGAAAGGTTTGCGGCAAAGGGCATCTTGGTAGAGAGATATCGCAAAGCAGGGTTTGTTGGGTAGGGTCTGGGGTAATTTCCCGCTGTGGCGGCATGTCTGACACGGAAGTATCTGGCCGCTAGGGGATCGAGGTCGTGGACGTAGAACTCGTAAAAGTCTCCATCGCCATCAATAAGAACATGCCCCTGGAGGGGCTCCTCGGTTGCGACGTCATAACGGATTCCGTCATGTGCAAAGTTGTCAAACACCTCCATGGCAAGAAAGAAGCACGGGGATGGAATATATTGATTCCATTCGAAGACGGACTTGTTGATGATGTTCACTCTGTCGGTGTGGCCACGGGATTCGGCCGTGGAAAGGAGGTGATGCTTCTGCATCTTCGCGAGAGCGGGGGAAATTTCAATGATGTTGTACTTGGTCCTGGCGTAGACCTGGGGATCAATGGCTCGGATGAAGTCCAGAATGTTGAGCATGAGGGTTCCCCG